GCGTGTTAAGTTACATGAATTTTTTACTTTGTATTGTACTCGTATTCGTACTAATTGTTAAGTAGCAGCTCAGATATTTCTACTGTTATGGGCCAAGTTGTGTTAGAAAAGTGTGCATTTCTTATCGCGTCCATGGTAACAAGCTTATGATTGACCACTGGACCTAGCCAAATGATTTTGGCAAAAAGTCAACAATCTTGGATCCACCGCTACACCTACAGAATTTTGATGTACTTTAAAGCAACAAAATTGGTGAAGTTGAAGCCGAGATCCTTTGCCTCAAAGGACAGGGGCCGAAGTCCTGGCACAGATAATGAGTATTCATATAATTACGTCATGCAAAAGTCCGTGCGCAAAAGCAAAATGCGCATGCGATTACGTATTTCAGAGCGTCAAAACGTCAGAAATCCAAAACGTAAGAACGTAAGAACGTAACACCCTTAGAACGTTAGAACGTCAAACGTTAGGACGTTAGAACGTTAGAACGTCAAAGCGTTAGGACGTTAGAACGTCAGAACGTTAGAACATCAGAACTTCAGAATGTGAAAAATAAAAATTGTCAGAGAGTCAGAAATTCCGAACGTCAGCGTTTCTATATTTATAATGACCTTTCGAAAACAAAGCCAATACTATCCAGTACTTAAGTGCGCGAGGCTACCTTGTCTCTATCTTTATATTCATACAATCTTACCGTCCAAAACGTAATTAATTTTGTTTTTTATGGATTCGTCAACGCGTGGTCAGTTTAAGTCGAGCCTGGTCTTGAAAAACGCCATATTTTTCGTAGGGTGTCATCCTGAATTTTGATTGTTTTAAAACGTTCTGGTCAGAAAATTTTTCAAACGGTTCTTAAGTATAGGAAAACGTAAGGAGTACTTAAGAATACTTAAGCATTCATAAGTAAAGAGTACGTACTGTACTGTAACCATGGATATGTGTTTAATGTTTATTAGTAAATAAGTATGAAAGTAAGATTTTGAAAGAATTAGCCGAATAAAACGATCGCAAAGTACGGCTGTGTTTTTTTGCCGTCCAACCCGTAAGACGTAAGTGGTCCTAGGAAGCAAGTAAAAAGAATCGTAGAGCAGTCAGATATTTGAATCCGTCCAAGAGGGTAGTGCCGAGCGCGCAGCGCGAGGCATACCTTGTATTCATACAAGCTTACCGTTCAAAACGTATTTTTCCTGGGTTTTTATGGATAAATCGAGGCGTGGTCAGTATAAGTCACGCTTAGTCTTGAAAAATTCGTAATTTTTCATAGGTGTGCCTTCTGAATTTTGATTTCGTTTAGAAAGCGTTGGTCAGAAGACATTTCGACAGGTTCTTAAGTATAGAAAATGGAATAATATAATGACGTTCTTTACATATTGGTCCATACAGTGATAGTGTGGTACTACAGTACGTTCTTACGAGTAAAACAAATTGTTGCCACGGAGGCAGCAATTAGTGCAATAACATAGAGAAAAATCGGAATTGCATAGACCATTTATTTAAAAAAGTGAAAAAATAGCCTGTGGTCAAAGGTTCAGGAAAAAATCGTGGGGTGGTCCGTGGTTAAATATTAGTTACGTCAGAACGTCAAAAATTCAGAACGTCAGAACGCTAGAAATTCAGAACGTGAAAAACCAAGAACATAAGAACGTTAGAACGTCAAAAATTAAGAACGTCCGAATGTTAGAACGTCAGAACGTTCTAACAATGATAGTGTGGCAACAGCATACTGTTAGTCTTGGAAAATTCCTTATTTTCCATAGGAGTGCCTTCTAAATTTTGATTTTTTAAAGAAATCTTTGGTCAGAAGAGATTTCGACAGGTTCTTAAGTATAGAAAATGGAGTAATATTATAATGACGTTTTTTAGATACGGTGGTAGTGTGGTATTACAGTATGTATTGTACGTTCCTACGAGCAAAACAAATTGTTACCACGGAGGCAGCCTTCAACCCACTAATGCAGAAACGATCAGAACTGCACGAACCATTTACTGAAAAAAAATAAAAATATAGCCTGTGGTCATAGGATCAAGGAAAATAAAAAGGAATGGTCAAATATTAGTTTCCGTCCAAGATGGTTGTGCCGAGCGCGGAGCGCGAGGCATACCGTTCAAAACGTATTTTTTCTTGGGCTTTTATGGATAAATCAACGCGTGGTCAGTTTAAGTTAAGCTTAGTTTTGAAAAATTCCTAATTTTCCATAGGTGTGCCTTCTGAATTTAGATTTTGTTTTGAAAGCGTCGGTCAGTAGAAATTTTCACTGGTGCTTAAATAGAGTGCTTAATATGACGACGCTCTTTAGATAAGTACTGGTGGTACTGTAGTACATTCTTACGAGTAAAACAAATCGTTGCCACGGAGGCAGCAGATAGTGCAATAATGTAGAAAAAAATCGAAATTGCACGGACCATATAATGAAAAAGGTGAAAAAATAGCCAGTGGTCACAGGGTCAAGAAAAAATCGTGGGGAGGTCAAATGTTAGTTTCCGTCCAAGATGGTTTTGCCGAGCGCGGAGCGCGAGGCATACCTTGTATTCATACAAGCTTACCGACCAAAGCGTATTTGTGCGCCGTTTTTATAGACTCGTCAACGCGTGGTCAGTTTAAGTCCAGCTTGGTCTTGAAATTTTCCATATTTTCCATAGGTGTGCCAATAGATTTTTATTTGTTTTTAATAACCAGTGGTCAAAAGATGGTTTCATCAGGTCTTATATATAGGAAACGTAAAGAGCACACGAAGAAGTATTCACTGCACAGCAATTAAAAGTGCTTTAAAACATAATGACTGTAACCACGGAGACTATAGCCGATGCATAAATACTTGCTCTTTAGGTAAAATTATATTTATTATTACGTCATGCAAAAGTTCATACGTATTGCAGAGCGTCAAAACGTCAAAAATTCAAAACGTGTGAACGTCAGAACGTAACACCGTCAGAACGTCATAAAGTAAGAACATCGGAACGTTATAACATTAGAACGTCAGAACGTTAGAACGTTAGAACGTTAGAACATCAGAACATCAGAACGTCAGAACGCCAGAACGTCAGAACGTCATAAAGTAAGAACATCAGAACGTTAGAACGTCAGAACGTCAGAACCTTAGAACGTCAGAACGTCATAAAGTAAGAACTTCAGAACGTAAAAACGTCAAAACGTTAGAACGTTAGAACGTCAGAAATTCCGAACGTCAGTTTTTATATATTTATAATGACCTTTCCAAAACAAAGCCAATACTATCCAGTACTTAAGTGCCGAGCGCGGATGCGCGAGGCTACCTTGTATACTGTAAGTGAACATTTCGAATGATGTGATAACTCGTGGCTGTTTGCTATTATTACGTGGCAGTTCGTACTTAACTTATCTTGTTGGATGCAGGATACCACTATTAAAATCCAGCAATACTTATACTTCGAAGTATATTTAATTATACGGTCGTTGTTGTGGTTGTTGTTGCAATAACTATACGGTTGACTAATGTCTGACGCATACTGTATCAGTACTTGACTGTTTCCCCAGGCAACACTTGGCGTAGATTCGAAGAAATTCAATGCTCCTGCCTTTGCTTAATATTCATTTTGTCATTGTTTCCTCTAATTTATGCCAGCACGGTTTGCAGCATAATTGCGGTTCATTTTGTATCGAATTCACTCGTGATAAGATTAAGGGCTAACGAGGGCGTTCCAGTGGCAGAGGCATTCTACCCTACATCAGCAACGATGGCTACGGTTTTGCGTTGGGCAGTGTTAGCTGTATGCATTGTGTGCCTGGTCGGTTCTTATGGCGTAAAAGGCAGCAACTATTACGGGAATGAGGATGGCGCAGCTAACTGGCTGTACGACCAACCCTATCATCAATATGCTCGTTCTGACATGGACTATGCCCGCCAAATGGCCTACGATTACCGTGGACCGTACTTGCAGCGGACGGTACGCCGGCCTAGTCATGGATGAACAAAACTGCTGGACGGGGCGTGGCTTTCAGTTCAAATTCCAACTGGACTATATTATTTGTCATAACTCTGTTTGGACGTTTCCTTTCTGCTTCTTAGTGATACTTCAAACCAGCGCAAATCTTATAAACCAGTAATTTTACAACCAGTAATGCATACGCTTATATGTGTGAACGGTTTACAAATAAAGCCCGCAACAAGGTTCGTAGCTCTCCGTAATTGCTGCATGCACCTCAACTCACTAACCAAATACCCTTGGCGAAACTCGATCATTATATGATTTTTGTTTCAAGAGAGTTCCTCGCCGAACTGTTAAATAAACACATGGACAAATGCTTACGTCATAAGAATGATAATAATTATAGCAACAGAATAAGCGTCGCGTTCATTACGCTTTCTATACTTCGTGTCGTGGAGTACGAGGTATTTCTGAAAACAGCATACAGCATGGCAGTACAGCACTTTTGTTTTTGGTACTGAGTTTGTATCCGATACTTATTAAAGGTATTCCCCGTCTTGCTAAACAGAAAGGCATAAACGCGTTACGCGTACTTCCGCTGGCAGTGGTCACGTCACGGCAAGGCTTGCTAGTGTTCAGCAATTTTAAGTTTGTAGGACTTCAAAACGAGCGGACATAAAAGAGAAGGTCATTCCAAGATTACTGATGTCTAAGTTATTATACGTGTTGAAAAGTGTATGTGCGATGGAACTTGTTTAAATGTTTTAAAAATGTCTCGGAGTGTATGCGGTCAGCGTACAAGGATGGCGCCATTTAGACGGACGGTCACGGACCATTACGTTAAATTACGTAAAATGATAATCTATTTTTTTCGGAATACATTATACAGATAAATACGCACATCTGCAGTCTGTACTATTTTGAAATTCAACAGTATCCAAAATTAAAAAAGTTTTACTTAATTAATACGAGTACTGGCAACGTACAGTGTAAAGTACTGTTCGCCAGTGTTCGGATACATAGCGCGGATAATGGTACATGGAACGTTGCTAAGGCAAACTGCACACGCACAGAAGAAATGCTGAAGAGGAACCAACATCAACATGAACATGTTTGACACTGTAGTGTTATACGTTCAGAATACAACTGTAATACAATACTTCAACTTAAAGTATACATAATTTTACCAGGAATAGTAAAAAAGGAAAATCCTGCGTGGCTTCTGTAATATTTCCCCCCTTTTTCATCACCTGAAGAACTGTAGTAATAAACTACTCGCTGTAATAATTAACCTCTTTGCAAAAAAATGCCATCATACTGCAATCCTTGTGCGGGAGGCTGTAAGAAACGCCAGGCCAGCGAGACACGCGGTCCCGATACGAAGGTACGTGCCGCAGCGGTCCCATTGCCCAACAACTAGCGTCGTCATCATGTTCTCACGGGGCGCTGAAATTGTCTGTAATCGCAGAAAGTTAATTCCGCGGAAAATGCCGGGTCATCGACGGATGTGCCGCGTTTATCCAAGGACCTGCTGAAAGAGCTCAACGTCCTCAGTCCCAAGATTGTCATCGTGGGAGCGGGCGCGGCGGGAATGGCCGCCGTGCAGCGTCTGCTGGAGGCGGGATTCAACAATGTGATGGTGCTGGAAGCGCAGAGTTATGTCGGCGGCAGAATTTGCAGTCAGAGTTTAGGTAGGCGCACCATTTACTAAAGTCACGCGATAAATATCATTTAATAATCTTTCGCACGCGCGTATCACATGGGTTCGCAATTGTGATACTTCGCTTGGCCCATTATTACAGTCAGTTCCCCTGTACGGACCAATATATTAATCACCCAAAACTTAACTTTTGACGTTCTGGTTTAAAACGTTCGTACGTTCTGGTTCTGACTTAAAAAATAGGCCAAGCGAAGTATGTTTAACCTTAATTTTTTTAACTTGGGGCGAGCAGGTTGGTACTGCTTGAAAAGCGGTTAAAATTCTCTATTGAGATACATTTTCGTTGTACCGGAAAATTTTATTTGTCGGTTTTTAGTAAATTTTGTAGCGTGAGAAGTAAAAATAAACAGCTTCAAGGCGATCATTTAAAATGAGATCTGCAACTTGCAGAATGTAGGGTTTGGTGCTGATGCCTGTATACTAAAATTTATTTGCAGCACGAGTTCAAAGCTGCTTTGTGAATTATAAAATAGTTTCTTTGATGAAATTTTTGTCTGACAAACTGGAGACGGTGTATTATAAAACTGGAATTATTTGTTTTTCATTTCGAAGAACTGAAATCCTAAGATACGGATATGGTCATATGGATGTAGGGCATCGAGGCCGGACATTGCTTTTACCGTCGTGTATAATTCTGTTTGTAGAAAACGGCTACTTAGAAAAAGGCGCACAGTTTCTCCACGGCGAGAACTGCTTAACCAGCGCAGTCAAGGAGAAAGGCTTAGCGCTCGCGGTTAACACCGACGAGCCGCCCAAACTAGAGGTCCATGTGGCTGCTAAAGAGCACGGCCCGGAAGGTGTCTTCCTGCTGGACGACGATAGTCAAGTCAGCGTTAACGCGGCCGAGCTGTTTATTGAAAAAGACAGTTAAAAGTTTGGCTTTGCAGTTAAGCGAGTTACCGAAAGACGTCATTAGTGAGGCGCTAAAGGAGACCTACAAAACGATCAACTCTATCGTGGATCGATGCAAACAGACCGCGCCGGAAATAGCCGAACGCGTGCAGGACGTCGGCGAGTCCCGGCGTACGACGCTAGGGCATTTCTTGCGCACGGAGTTCGAACAGTTCATGGGGACGAAGGATGACGAAGCAACGTGTGTCAAAGCGTACCGTTGGGCCATCTTCGAATGGATGATGCGGTAAATTAAACTAGCGTTGTGGTAAAAAATTTAAATGTTCCTTGCCGTAACGTTCGACTAGTAAATTCAAACGACAGCACACTCAAATATTAATTCCAGAATTCCGTGTTGTCGAATCATGAAGCACAGTTTGTTTTTAAAAATAAATTTTAAACATAACGTTCTGATTTCTGTTCGGGAAGCCCGCTCAGTTTTGAGTAAATTTTAAAATGCACAAATTACAAAACGCCGGCAGTTTTAGCATCTGCGTAAATTTCTTTTCGTGTTGCTCGTAAACTTTTCCATCAATTTTCTCAAATTACGGCACCGTTAACTACAATAAGAAAAACTGCACAGAATATTAATTATCGTTAGGCTCAAATTCAGAAATAAATAACCCAAAAAATCATAAAAAGGTTAAAAAGAAATAATACTAATATTGGATTTTTATTAAGCGCGGCCAGAAATGTATTATATGGAAAGTTCGTAGCCCTGTTTTTATAAATATACAAAAGCAGTTCTTCGCGTAGAAAACGCTAGAAGATGCCTAAATTCTCGCGATACGATAACAAAAGTAATATCCCTGTTATTAAACAACGTAATGGAAATAAGTGCGAAAATTCTAGCCGGGACAAATATTACCCTGTTTCATTTGAATGCTTCTTATGCACGATATACATCTTGTCATATTTTAATATTGCTCATTATACTGAAAATGGATTCACTACAAGCAAAACTGCATTTATGATGCTCGGTTTATACAGCGTGCATCTGTCCGATTGCGCCAGCCGCACCCTGTACGATCTCTCCGTGATGGAGTACTCCAAGTACGCCGGTAGTCTGGAGTGCACCCCATTGAAAGTCCCCATGATCGACGCCCTGAAGCTGTGCGTTTCGCGCGCCTTATCCGAACAGGCGCCCATCCTCCTCAACAAACCGGTGAAACAGCTACGCTTCGACCCCAGCCAGCCCAATCCCCTGGTCATCTTCTGTGAGGACGGCCAGGCCTTCGTGGCCGATCACTGCATCGTCACCTGCTCGCTGGGCTTCCTCAAGAAAAACCAGGCGACCTTCTTCCTGCCACCGCTCCCGGCGGAGAAAGCCCGGGCTATCGAAGCGGCCGGTTTCGGTACGGTGAATAAGATCTTCCTGACGTTTGCGGAGGCGTGGTGGAATGGGCGGTTCGAGAAGACCGGCGGGTTCCAGCTGCTGTACATGAACGAACCGAAAGGCAGCCAACAGGTACAGCCATTTATTATGCTGTTTTTCCGTTGCCGCCAGTAATTAATCGCGTAGCTCTTTATGGTCCCTAAATTCCCTGCCTTGCCACTAAAAGTTAAATAACGGCCGTTTATATATTATGTTAGTAAAAGTGCGCTTAATATTAAAGCTACGGTTTTGACCTTTTGAGGAAGATGTAAAAAAAAGTAAAATGGCTGTAAACAGGCTGCCGCACTGTTCAAATTATTTATTAAGTTATTTACTAAAATATTTAATATCATAATTCTCTTTTTTTGCATTATTAAAACCTTTTTATTACAGTCTGATTGACTGCCGTCTGGGGCGTGCACCATTCTAAGGGGCTGACTCCATCAACTACCACTTATTTATGCAGTTTAATAAACGCAAATCTTATCGAGAAAACAAACCGAGAAGTCTGTCTGTATCGTTCGGTTGCGCTTTGAAACAATCACGGGTTAAAATTTTTAACGCTAAATTAAATTTATTTGGCAAATTTACTTTAATTTAGTAAGTAAATGCGCTTTGGAAAACTACAAAATAAGTAAAAGTGATTAAAACTCCCGGAAACTGTCAAAAGTAAGTAAAAATAAGTAAATCTGCAAAAGGGGATAAAGAAAGTTAAGAAACAGTAAATACATTGCCCACAATCGAACGAGCATGGGCCATAAAGGGACTCGTAGTCCAGGACGTTGGCTGCTGATTAACGCGTGCATTAAGCTGACTGAGCAGAAATGCATTATACTGGAGGATCGACAAATTTCGACCCCAGAAGCATAATGCATATCTCTTCGAGCCAGATGTCGACAGGATTCTTGGCAGATCGTTTACGCTCCTTATTATGCGATCGTAACGTGTGACAAATGTGGCAATGCACGAGCGCTATATTGATTGTAGCAGTCGCAGACAATTTTATCATGCGTTACGGCTGTAATAATCGAGATCGACAACGTTGCAAGGGCGAGTGATATCGCCAGCAAAGAAAATGTCGACCGGGAAAAGCAGAAAAGCCTAGTCGATACATTTCAGTTTCTGCGGCGTGGCATACAAGACAGATTCAGACTGTACGGTCTTTCCCGTCTGTCCGTGCCACGTTGGCAAAATGGTGTTCATAATAGTGACACGTATGCATCTGATGTATCTAAAATTTGTTGAACTTCAGATTTTGTACCGGTGTTGTTTTTCATCACTGCAAACCGCATATAAACGGATGGGTGTACAGTGAAGCACACTATATGGTAGTTTGCAAATATCAGATAGGTATCTGTCGCTGGCTTAGGCAAGCGAGGGAAGCGGCACAAAAACCGAGATGTGTGATTGTTGTACAAATGCACCATGTTTATTGAGCCATGACTTGAGGTGACATTAAACAGAAAGCAAAGATGTTCAAACCTGTTTGAAGACTTCTGTTTCTCGACGGTGCTTACGCTAGCAAAGAAGACCGATGCTGCAGTAATGTTTTTCCGATTGTAGAAACCCTGGTACCGTCAAATTGTCGGCTTCGATGTGTGCAACACGAACCCGAACACGCTAGTCGCCTGGATCGGCGGTTCTGAGCAGGCCGAGGCGATGGAGGCCATGTCGGACAGCGATGTGGCTGCCGACTGTCAAGCGCTACTGCAACGCTTTCTCAAGAACGTCATCGTGCCGCCGCCCATACAAGTTATCAGGTAAACCAGGCTGAATGTTTTACTGATGAATCTCGGAGCGATTGCGGGAATGCTTGTATAGGACAGCCTGGGCTTCCAATCCTTATATTCTCGGCGCGTACAGCTACTCCGCCGTCAATCAGTCGGAACACATGAGTGTACTGCAGCAGCCGATGTGGTTGTATAAGAAACTCAGCGCCATGACGCCGGCCGACACCAACAACGTTAGTAGTTACCAATTTATTGTCGTAACTAAAACTGACATACATTATTACACTTTACATACATACATTATTAGATACATTATTACATTTTATTTTCTATAACAAATATAGAGTAAAACAAAGTTTATTTATTCGGCAATGCGGTTAGTACAAGTTAGGACGTTATTCTGTTTCTACCTGGTCGCCCGATATCAGCGACCAGATCTTTAAAAGTACAGCTTGAACTGCCTTTCTGTAGCTGAAGTTCATATTTTTCGCTGAAAACGAATTATTAGACAATTAAGCGCTAAAATTTATTCGTAAAATGAAACTTGGTTTTTTCAATCGTTTTATAAAACCGTTGAATGTCCGGCGTTCAGTAGTATACTCTGTGTATATACAGAAGCATTTGGTTGCGCTTTGAGCAATCATGCGTGAACGAAAGGAACAGTCTTCCTAACTTGTACATATAGCCAATTCATATTAAGGAAACTTCTTTTCCAGCCGCGCCGCTCGATGGATGGCCAACAACTACCCGCTCTTTTCTTCGCCGGGGAAGCGCTGGATCCCACTTGGTTCTCCACGGTGCCCGGCGCCCTGGAGAGCGGTCGCCGCGAAGCCGAACGCCTAATCGCACTTTACAAACCCCTCGTTAACGCTGTGGCTGGTTCCGCCGACGCCACGGCGAAGCAGTCACTGATCACGGCGCCGTTCGAGCAGCGAACCAGCGTCCAAAGCCAACAGGAGCGAAGGACCCTGACCCAGCAGAACACCGAGTCCAACGCTTACGTCAGCTCGGAGCGGAAAACACTAACCGCCGTGCCGACGGAAGGCGCGCCAAAAGGTTCGCTATCACAGGCGGCGCCACCACGCAACAGTGCGCCGCAAACGGGAACACTGCCGGATCAGTCGTCGCAGCGATTCAGCAGATAAGAGAAAAGTGATATATTTTCGTATTTTGTAAGTGCTGATGATGATGTGATAGATTGGTCTTGTTTTTGATTTTCATTGGGGTTTGCTTGCAACAAATGCGAGACAGATAAGATGCACCCTCGCTTTCGATGTATTCAATACGATGAGACAATTATGCACAAGAAAAGGGCATTTCTGAAGATTAACGCAAATTCTAATGCACATAGGAAACAAAAATCCATAACGATTTTCTTTACATCCACGTTCGCGACTAACTGAGGGGTTCGATAGTGGCAGTTTGGGACGTGGCTGCACAGTACAGCATGTGCTGTGCAGCCGAGTGAGTCGGAGCACCTCCAGCGTGCCCAAAGCATCGTCCTTCTTGGAAAACGTCTTCCGATACGTTCTCATCGTCAGCGGATCCTTGGCCAGTCTTTTCTTCCAAATCTGTAATGAATTAATACCACGTTAAAATTTGCGGTATTTGCTTAGATGTACGGTTCATTCTACGTAGGAAATCGCTGCAGTATTTTTCTTTTCCGTCCAACTAATAAGCAAGGTGACCAAAACTTCATTTGACCAAGACAAGCCAGCGCCCACTGCATAACCCCATAATGAAACCGTCGTTCTTAATCTTCCCTCGGGCAAACCGATTACATTTTTGCAAGAAGCAACTGGCTCTCACCAGCGTACACATTTATTTACGTTAATAATATAGAGCAAATTCAACGGCTGAGGCAATCACTTCCTGCACTTGCTGTCGTCACTCGGTTGGAGTTTAACGTTGCGGCTTATTATGCTGCTTCTTAAGTACCACGCTTGAAACCTTCTAAACCGTCCGCTGGTCCAAGGAAAACATCTGCCGTAAATTTGCTTAACCGAAATTTTTTGTCCAAGTTTAATTTGCAATTTTGGGGCGGTCGGGTTAATCTGACTGCATATTCGGAGGCAGACAATTTTGCCTTATGTTAGAGACGAACGCGTTCGGCGGACGACGCGTCCGTTCCAACGGTTTCGTCGGTTACAGGTGCCTTAAGCGATAATTGTGGAATGAACAGCAATATTGCCTTAAACTGCTTTAAATCGTACGTATAATGTACAGTATGTCGTCGTACACACCGAATTGCTTTGGCGTGAAATTGCAGATAACTTTTGATCCACGTTGTTAACACGTATAGTTGGCGGTCGTGCAGCACCGCACAGGACCGGTCGATCAGATCCCACCAGTCGCTTTAACTTAAAGGCCGCTGTCTGTTTATACGGCAAATGCGAATTCGGCCATTGATTAGTCGGTTCTCATCAAATAAGAGCGAAAGACCTGGCACGTCAGGTTCTGGACGATCAGCGTCCGGCACACCGACGTTCAGGCAGCATGTTTTGCAGAAAAGGCAATAAAATCGGTCCGCTCGCTTCAACGTCAAACCGAAGTCACAGAGGGTTAGGGTCTTCGGTAACGAAAAATTCTCTGGCACCTCAGTCACGATTCCCCGCACAACGTCATCATCCAGTAAGAGGGAGTATTGTACCTCGTGATTACCGGCAGACTGCGCCAGCTAAAGGGTTCTTGGCTCCAGCAATTGCTGGTACAGACAACTTGAAGGTACGCGCTGGCGATCAGGAACGACGGAACCTATAGGCGGTGTACTGTATATCACCAGCCAAAATAGAACGCTGCTTGATATAATTATGTTAGTTGGTTTATGTTCTAATAAACGGCGATTAAACGTCAAAGTAGCTGCCAAAATCACATTTGTATAAACCAAGTTACAAAAACAATGTCGCGATAATAGCACAAGTACGAAAAGAGAAAGCGTGTTAAACTAGCACAAATAATCGCTAACATGTCCTGCATGTATTGGTGAAGTACGAAGTCATAATTATCATTACGGTATTTGATCAATTATAAAGAAACAATGACATTTCCTAAACCGCTCGCGCGGGACGCCGGCCTCTTTTGACGTCGAAGCAGGCCACGTCCAGCGCGAGTTTTCCCGGGGATTCGAGGAATTTATTGTTTCTTAATTTGAAATAAATGTAGTACAGATACAAACTACAAACCCATATTTAAACTCCATTGCCACGCACTGCTGGCAAACGAATTCCTGTGAGTAAATAAGTCAAGGCACCCGTATGCCGGACACTGAAACCGTTCAGTGAAGCATACATTTGCCGGTTATCCAGTCTTTTACACTTTACAACCTTCTGCAGCGCGTTTTAATCTTAAGATGGACAATAATATGCTGACGCTTAGCGGCCAAGGTAACCACATCCAGCAGACGGTATATTTCTACCGCGGGAGTGTCGTGGAAATTACCGATGATGCTGGAATCGCCCAGTGTGGAACAGTGGTGGGCGCTTCCTAGGCGGCCCTGCTCGTTGATTTCCGCTGTCCCGCCCGATGACTGGATAGCGTCGCTCTTAACAGAGCCTGTCTAACGAGGATTAATAACCGCTACGGTCAACCGGGAACGTAATTATTTAACGGTAATTACCTAAAAGACAATTCGTTTACAACTGTTAGAAATGTTTTTTTTTGCAGTTAAGAGCGTCAGAGTAGACTAGCCTAGCGTCCTACGGAGGTATAAATAAACGCAGTAAATGAAGTATAAATTTGTTAATTTTGCCATTGGTCATAAAATAATGGATATCGACCAGTGCCATTCAGTCCAGTCTTGTTTGCGTAATAAGCGTTAGAAAAACCATTTACATTTATACTATTATCCATGGTACGATTTCCTGGAGCCGCGTGCCGTGCTATTTTCCTACATGAAATTCCGCCTCCACTGGCTGGTGATGGTGAATAGCGCGAATAATACCCGCGATTTTCTGAACTGGGACGGTCACACACTTACGAGCACTCTGTCGAGAATATGTCGGAATATTGCATTTAAGTGGTATTTATGCGATCGAAAGCGGTATGAGTTCTTCGATGAGTCGCGCTTCAATTATGATTACAGAATGGAAATCAGCATTTTTGTTCCCTGTTTTACTTATTCCATCGCCAATGATTCCCTGTGCGATGTACAATTAGCGCTTTTAAATCAGCTTGATGACCTTATCCAACCACTAGACACTTCCAAGTACATCCCAATACAATCCTGTATCCGTGTTTTAAACGAGATTTTTGAAAAGCCGGGAGTTTGGGTAGAAGGTTACTGGACGACCTTTGTTGCATGTTTCACCAAGTTAGTTCCACTTGCTTCGATCGATTGCCGGCATTTACCACAATTCTATTCAGAAATGTTGTACCGATTGCAGATGGAGAGTTGATCCCCCGATGACTTTAAACGACGCTACAAAGTTTCCGTTCGAGAAGCTGCCTCGAAAAAACCTGGTTTCCCAAACTTTGAGTTTGTGGGCAGATGTGGTAAAAAATCAGCTGGCGCAGTCACCTCCAAAATGCTCGGCTTACCTGAGTTGGGAGTGTTTTGAAGTTCCAAAACGTGACCTTGTGCGTAATTAGTGTTATGCTTACTCATAGCGTACTTCGGCGGAGTTCTCCCATAATGTCCGAACGTTTGACAAGTCCAGCGGACGTTTTGGCGCTTAAACCGTTTAAAACGTCCGGGGCCGCCGTAAATTGTTGCCCATCACTACCATCAGTGTAGTGTCTCTTGCGTTTTCGACCATGAAAAGTTAGGACGAAATCACGAAATTACACTCGTCTTAATTGCTCAAGATCAAAAACGAAAAAAATTCACGGCTAACGTTTTGGTGGCACCCGGACATTTTAGATGCCCGCCTTAAGCGCCAAAATGTCCGCTGGACGCCTAGCACGTCCGAACATTTTGGACGATTTCTGCGGTTTTTGTTGTATGGTGTACGGTTTATCGATGTGCGGTTTATTGTGCGAAAAGATATTATTTTTTTGCCATCTCTCTGGTAAACTACCTGACCAAAACGTTCATTTTGCCGAATATAAAGCCGTCTCACACTATAGTCTATAATCACAGAATACAGACACAACCGATTTTGTTCGCTCTTCACTAAAAAAAAAACCGATGTTATTTTGCGCGACATTGTTGCCTCTCAAAAGCTCACGGTTGCAGTGTAGCAAGAATCACTTGGCAGCGTTTTCAGCTTTGAAAAATTATGGTAACCTTTCCTTTTACTCGGTTTAAAACTTTTGGCACTTCCATTTCGCAATGGTACTGTAATAAGTACAACACTAATTCCCGTGAAAAGGGTACACCCTAGTTGCACTAAGATACCAAACCAGAACGCTTCCTGCTTTATCGAAACAAAAAATGTTACAAAATTCCATGATTTTGGACACGGTTTGTTTACAACAGTTTAGTATTTGAGTATTTGCTGAGTAGTAGTGAAAGTGATCGACATGGTCGACTGCGATACTGACAATGAGCGTCACATGTACTACAGATACATCTTTACACAGGAAACGTGAGTAATATTTTAACTAGGCCCAGTGTTGGTATCTGTAGCATTAGCCTAACTACGCTAGTGAAAGTTTTGCGGCAGACTGGCTATTTGTAGCGCCCTTTACATGACGAACTGCACAATGTGCCTCATCCGTTTCGTTACTCATTCACGTCTGGTTCGGAAACTGGTGCAATTCCCGCTGAACACTTTTTACAAAGCGGAAGTTTAGAGCAGGAAGCAGTTCACGCACATCTAATCCCGAATCGAAGCACGAATCGAAGCAATCTGCCCATTCAGTAATTAGTACCATTTTGTAATTCTAAAAGCAGATTTTATGCAGCTCTTATTCCAATGTCTTTTTTCGACGTCGACGCAATGCAAAATTTCGTGCGCACACGGCATCATGAGTCTCCGAAACCAAATATTATAAAAAATGACCATGCAGCAAACTAAAGAAAGCAACACAAAATACGCAGAAGTGATTATATTCCTATAGTTGTGCTCGGACTGTCGCGCACAAGGATCGTCTTCCGGCCATTTCGCGACGCGGCATTGGCTAAGCATCCTTATCTCGGTGTAGTTCGAACAGAAAATGCCGGCTAATACGCGACAGGTGCGCCAGCTGTAAATGTTCCAGGCCGTCCACGCACCACTTTTTTCCGCGATAGTGCGCCGACGGACGCGGATCGGCCGACTGCATCGCACACAACATCTGCGAACAACGCAATATTTTTTATATCCCGAGAGCCTCTCACAATGCAGCCGGGAGGGCGCTGATTCAGCGAGACCAACTGACGACCTGAACGCATTGCGGATGTAG